GGAAGGGAGATAAAGGAAGGGAGGGAGGGAAGGAAGGAAGAAAGATAATATAGGGAGGGAAGGAGATGTGAGCCAGGCGCCATTACCACCATCTACGCGTCATCCTCCTTCCCTCACCTCACTAACAAAAGCGTACTGACCATTGACATTGTCCCTGTACGCTCTACCTTCCTTAATTAACTCTAGTTGAAAGACCAGCTACACTACAACCCGTAAAAATGGAAACATCACTTGCTCTATAAACTGATTGCGAGTAACTGTGGCGCGTCGAATAGAATAAAGAGTTTTTAAACCTATATGTCAGAGTTCACTCGATTCTAAACTATTTAATTTACAATATCCTTAACATATGGAGTTCCTTTTATGTATTTTACTGTACTCTAATGTAAGTCCATCAATACGAAATCATTCAATGCAATTATTTTTTTTTTTTAACATTTTGGATAGATCGATTTGAAACTGTGTGTGTGTGTGTGTGTGTATGTGTGTGTGTGTGTGAGTATGTGTGTGTGAGTATGTGTGTGTGACTCTTACCTGGCATGCAAATCTTGTAATGGATTCGATCGGGTGGTACCGAACACCCCAAGAGTCGACCCACACAGTCTGACCAACCCACTCTTGGCTAATGATGTACACAGCGTATATATTAACCTCCGTCTTTCTACCTAGTGACATGCGATATGTATAGATAGAAAGGTAATATTACACACCTAACCTAACCTAACCTGCCCCCCCCCCGCAGTACTTATTGTTAAACTTTTCGTGGTGAGGTGTGGTGGTAGTGGTAGTAATTTGCCTGTGTATTATGTTATTATTAGATAGATAGATAGATAGATAGATAGATAGATAGATAGACGACTTTATAACAACGACAGGTATTATTCACTCCACGTTAGATGAATGAAAAGCGTCCATAATACATCAGTTAATCTATGTAAACGTCGATGTGTGTTTGTGTGCGTCAGTGTCTGTTTGTATACATACCGTACAGAGCTATAGGTGTATAAACAGTACAGTATTGTGTAAATCAACAAAACTATTGGTACATACAGTCTTACTTCGTTTTATTTTATGAGAAAATATGGGCTAAAATATCTGGCTAAATTTAGCATATAACACGAAGAATGACTCCAGTGTGTCATGAGTTGAGGAAGGGGTCGCCTGAAGACTGAATTAACGCCACACTCCCTAATATAGTTGTTGTAAGGTTTGCTCTTCACATAGTTTGCATTGAGTGATGGCCGTGTGTGGCTTGTCTATGCCACACGTAGCGAGTTCCCCATCCTGAGGGAACACATGTTGAATTTTGTTGCACGACAGCCCAAACTTGGCAGATAATCCATTTTGTCATGTTTTCCTGTCGACTTGCACCAGGATGCAGGCTATCAGCAGCGATTCAGTTCTCCCTTACTCCTTCAAATTTGAATAACAATCAGTCTTCCGACTTTATGGTATACTGCCCGGTCTCCCACCTCTTTTATTTCATGTCTTTAGCAGCTGTAAGTAACGTGCTCGAGAAAATGTTCTTGTCAGGGAAAGAAAATTTCATGACACTGCATGCTCATGTAAATGCCAAGCAACACAACTCACGCTCCAGAAGAAAACAAATCCTATGTAAGGGAAGACTGTTGTCCCGTCGAGTATTTTTTTTTCTTCCTGGACGTAAATTGAAGTTAACTGTTGTCGATGTAGGTACTGTATTCCCATCCCTACCAAGGTAAAGTTTGTGTGGTGCTGCTGTAGTATGACGATAGGATGATTAAAGGCGTAATATGCGAGTGAAACACTTTAGTACTCGTAATGAATATAAGCTCTGATCTCTCTCTCTCTCTTCGGTGACTCATACTAATATATTCTGTGAGTGCTGTTGCCGTTTTAACAAGCTTTTCAAATTGTGTGTATATATATATATATATATATATATATATATATATATATATATATATATATATATATATATATATATATATATATATATTGTATATATTGTATATATTTCTGCAGTCTTCACCTTAAACTCATTAAGGTCTGGGAACAACTAACGTGGGTCACCGGTGCCAAAGCGAGCACTAAGATAAACGACGAGTACCACTTGTTGTCAGTGTTTTAACTTCTTCCTATATAAGGACAGCGAGTTCCTCTGAAGACTTTAGTATGCAAAATTCAATGAGCTTTCACATGATTTTGGCTGTTGTACTACGTGAGTGTATTGTAGTATTGTTCCTACATTTATCACCATTTCACTCGAGACATTTACCACTTTACCCCTTTATACAGTAATAATAGCTACTGTAATAAATTTTATGAGAAAATATACAAATTGCATTGACTTACCATGAATTAGAGAGATTGATCCATATACACAGTAGCCACAGGTCACCATTCTATAAGTGGTCTATACGTGTCTAGTTATAACGTGAGAGGTTTTATGTACCTAAAAAAAAAATACACATTATTTCAAATCATCAAAAGCTATTTCCGGAAATTTTACTGGGAAAAAATGCAAACTAAATCTAAGCAGATATGTTAGTTTCTGTGGGCAAACGCCATCTACCTGTCTGTGGCCGTGAGTCTCTTCCTGGCCCCGTGAGATGTCTGAAATTCTAAAGATGGGTTGTTAATTCACTTACAGTTGATCCGGAGAGAATAGTATTCGTTCTTGAATCTGTAATGAAGATTAACAAATTTACAAATGCTTACTCAATACAGGTGAACAATGTATACTGGAAATCATAGAATTTCACATCCAAACAGCAAGTGCCAAAACAAGAGTCATTAGGCTCTGAAATTATATTGTAAAGTTAAATCACATGTTCCAAACTAACACAACCGTTTGTCTTAGAATGAAACTGTTTCCTCGTGTTTCCTAGCAGAGTTAATACATAGGTGTAAAATACAGCTACTACACACAAATATTTTAAACGTCAAGATACTCACAGAAGCATGAAAAGGCGAATATATGACATAACACTTGATACGGGAGGAAAACGAATGAATATGAGTTCAAAGTTCAAGCTAAGGTAACACACACACACACACACACACACACTAATATATATGTGTGTGAAGCAAAGGAATTGATATGATAGCTGGGTGGCCAAATACATCTGTCCTCTGAATTCAGAACAGGTAACACTGTCTCACCTTCCTGACTCTACCGTTATAACACATGATAATTAACACCTTCATATTCCAGTCATCAAAATCCGGTTGCTCGCTGTGTAATGTTAGTGGATATTATTACAGTGAGCGACAACAACTAATTGGCAGTGTTTTACTCTCCACCAGCTGACGCCAGACACACGCCGCTCGTCCAACTCATTTTGCTTATTATGAGCTAAATGAAGTGTGGTGGCCAGTGTCCCGTGAGGCGACCCCCTGCGCCTTTGTCACCCTCCTGCAGCGACTCTCAAAGACGCCTCACCCACCCACTGTGCTGATACTGCCTCCTCTAATATAACAACAGTAAGGAAATAATTTTAATCCCCTTACTATTTTAAGTGTAAAATTTTTTATTGTTATTGTTCTTCCTCATCTTTCTCATCATCCTTAAACATCTTTCTCATCATCCTCAGCATCGCCTCCCCCACCAGGTTGTGATTCCTTCTTAGGATGCCAAACCCTTGAGTAACGACAGGGAGTCCGGGGCTGGAACTCAGTAGATGGCGCCACTACTCCACCCCACAATTTATGCTGTGCTTGAATCATCCACTTCCTATCTCTCGTATGTAGTCTTTGGTGACTAAGGCAGAGAGAGGGAGACTGCGCTAATGTAGCCGCAGGCCGCCACCTGCTGCTCTGAGAACCGTCACTTGCTTCTGTTTTCTGTTATCGTTAATGACTTACTGATGAACAATGTGTAATATATTTCTCTATCTTCATCGGTAGGAACGTAATCGTGAATAAATTAATAACTTTGTGACACTCCTCTTGAAGTGACTTACCAATGAGATTCTAAACATGAGCAGTAATTCCTCTTGTTGTTCATTGTTGTTGGTAGTGACGTTTTATGTTCTCTATATAAAAATGAAGATCGCAATTCAAGCTACTTTGGTCATTACTGGTTTACTCCTGGACGAATGAACGAAACTCGAACCTTCGAACGATAACTGAGAACAACTCCACTAGTTATCAACAATCACTGAAATAACTTGTGGGAGACGAGGTGTCGAGTGAATAAAACAAATTCATTGTATAATTTGCTAATATCATGCGGGCTTAATTATACAAACCATCAAACTAATTATATTTATAATTATACTTGTATGTGCGCTTTTAATTAATGGCAATCTGGTTACGTATATTAAAATTTATTTATAATATATATATATATATATATATATATATATATATATATATATATATATATATATATATATATATATATATAGGAAACAAATACCAGTAATGGTAAGTAAAACAGTGTCTGGTGTACTCATCAGTCAACACCATGTAGTTTGATACTATCATGAATCAGTCACACACTAGGATCGGGAACACGGCTGACTGAATTAAAACTTTCCATTCACACCATTATACCATATACAGTAATGCGTACCAGCTTGTAAATACCACAATTTTCCGTTAATTTGGTTACTACGTGGATGCAATGGTGTATTACAGTACTGTCAGTGTTTCAGTAAGTCTGTCTATTAAGTAGTGTTAATGTATAAATGAATTCAGTGTTCATGTATACGCGCCGCATTTTATGGGAGTTGAAAGTTAGTTATAAAATATATCGACGTCAATGAGCATTATTCCGAAGAAAAACATAGATTTGGAACTTCAGCAATCAGAACATGACGACACAAACTACAAACACAAACAGTGGTAGCCAAAGGTAGGCCAGTCGTCTTAGACCACCTTCATTAACAGCTCGATATGCTGACACCACTGTGGGAACCTTAAAGCGATAAACAAAATGTAAAAATGCATAAATATTTGAGATATGTCTGAAACAGCCGAGTGAGTCCGAAACGCTTCGAAGCTCTTTGGGTCGTATGTCGGTGTGGGTACGTGGGACAGTCGCCGGTTGGTGAGCAGAGCGCTGCGCGTCAGTGACACAGGCCTCAGTGACCTAGTAACACGAACAGGGTGAAGGTGTTGACCGGAGAATTGAACATCGTCTTGCCTACCAGTGATCCTCCACCACCAGCCCCCTTCCTTCATAAGAGTAGTCAAACATTCACGTCATCGCCCTAAGGTTAGTAATTTAAGGTAATGTTTCTAAAGCTGACATTTGAAGGTATACCGAGTCGCCATTTTTATATTAACGTAGCTCTGTGGAAGATTCAAACACTTGGTTGATGAAGGCTTATGAAAGAGCAAACTGCCGAGGGTTAACAGTGGTGAGTGTGCAAACTGAAATAGTGATCCATCTTTTATGGAAGATATTTTAACGGCATCAAAATATATAAAAAAAAGTAAGGCATTTCCTGTTGTCGAGTCAGGCCATCCTCGACTTAAACCACCATACTTACTAACGCGTAACTTTAAGATTGTCTACTGAGCTTTTAACCCAATTTGGGCAACGAAAAACATATACTCTGGGACACCGTTTTGAGTTGACCAGCAGTAATGGGAAAATTTTTTGGGGAAGAAAATTTATTGATAATGTTTTGACGGTTGTGCGCATGAAACAGCAACTTGAAGCAAGTATCACCTGAAGGAACTTACGGAATTACACGAAAAATTCTATAGACAATGCACAGAACTTAATATAACCTGGCCAAACGTACCTAACTTCCTAGATGGGGGGGGGGGGGCACCAACACCTGGGTTTCTCGCCATATAAAGTGTAGCTAAATTAAGTTGCTAACGCCCCCATGGACTCCCTCATAGCAGGAGGAACTTACCTTAATAGTGAGGTCGGTTGTTACGATGAAACAAATAATGTCGGTTGAATGTCGCTTCCCTGCCACACTTTGGGCACTTACACATCCATCCAACTCCATGGCCGCACATACTGATACTTTTTAATGTTATCTTGTGAATTTAGGTAACACTAACCTAAACAGTAATGACAATGGATAACTTTAAATGAGCACATGGTTATACCACAATGAGGAAGTGTTCACTGGCAACCTACTTGAATGACCACAAAGCCCAAATATAAGCGGCAGATAGACGTAATTTGATTTTTTTCATAAAATCGTCTGGTTAAAAAAATACTGAAACTGTAATACCTGCCGTTAAGGAAAACAATTATCCTAAATATAAAACTTGTTGGAAATAGCTGGATTAGGTGCTCAAAAACGGAGAAATGGTAGAAAATGTTAATTATACAATTTTCACTAAACACACTTCCTTTCGACCCCTTGAAGAACCATTAAGCACGAAGAGGCAGGTGAGGCTTAGGTTGACGAGTGTTCATTCGACCCCATTGAACTACAATAGATTCATTTATATACCACTAACTCATCACTGGACATATTTTAGATGGTTGGGCGAAACTTTAAAATAGTGTAGTAATGTGACTTGTGTATCAGTTTTTCACATTTGAATTGAGTGTCGATCATATTTAATGTTTTTTTTTATAATACTATGGCCATATTTGTGTTAATTTCAAAGTTCATCCTCTGTGATATGATGTATTGGTTTCAGAGCCTTTGAGGTTGGAGTCGCCTGCGGACCACCAACTGAACACAATCTCTGGACGCCCTCGTGGACTGACCTCTAATAGTGTTCATAACCTGATCGATCGACTCCTTGTATCCTATCTTCCAAGCTTCTATAATCTGCATCTAACGCCATAAAACTGGATTCGAAGGACCTTGAAACCCTGATCTCTTCATACTTTGAAGTGAACTGCGTCGACGGCCCTATAACTTGGTTAATTAGAGATCGGAGCTGTAAAAGTCTTACACATGTGGTGCTTATTCTTTTGGAGTACTTATTTTCTAGTTTTATAAATTACCTGATATCTAGCGATTATAAACACTTGATCTGCACGATCCTCGGTGGTCTGTCCACTCAGCTTCTTGGAGCCCCTCGTACCTTTCAAGGGGACCTGTTCTCTTGGCTCCTTAAAAAATTGACCTGTAAACTCGTTCGGATTATTGTGTAAAAGTCCTCTGTCCCTTATCACCGACTAATTTGTAAACGATTAACCTCACCGTTCGCTCGATTTTCTTGGGGCTCCTGCAAGACCACGAAGAATATAGGGTCTCTGGAATAGGCAGAGCGCAGCAATGACCGTGGAGTATACTAAGGAGGTGGGCAACACTCGCTGCTGTATCTTCGCCAGGCTACTGTTCAGGTATGTTAAAGTGGAGTTGGGTCTAAAAGTTAAGAACTGAGTGTATTGAGTGGAAGATTTACAGGTATGTACCATTTTTCTAAAAGTAATTGTTTTAAGGGAACATTTAAGAGTAAAGAAGAGCAGACAATATCATCTTTGGGCATCAAATCCGTGGCATGAAAACATTAAAATACTGAACGTAAACCTGTAAAAAAATATAGGTTACTTGGAGATGTTTATCCCCCAAATACACCTGAATTTTAGTACAGTATGTTAAAGTTTGCCTAAAGATAGTTCATATCCAAAACACTACAAATGTGTTCATTTTGCAACTGGGCACAAAGGTTCACTAAACAGTATCGCGCCAACTTTAGATTAAGAGAAGACTTTAGAAAACAGAGGCTTGTTCGGTGCTTGCAGACTGAAAACTTCTATGTTTTTCATTAGAGTTACTAAAGCTGTCTTTATACTGTAAAAAAAAAAAAGCATACAACTCACGTTCCCAGACTGTTTAAAAGTCTTCCAAAACTATTATTTACAAACCTGTTTGTTTATAATGTGCGTATTGTGGCAGGTGGCGAGGCAGCGTGTACAAGTTGTTGTGGCGGGACGTACTTGTGTACATAGTTCTCTACACCATCATCTCCTGCTTCTACCGCTTCTACCTCAAGGACCCTCACAAGAAGTAGGTGCTGGTTCCCTATCCCTAAGGGCTGACCTGGCTCACATACATAAAGAATATCCATTACATAACTGGGCATTCTACCACTGCTGTCACTAAGACTTTTTTTGCTGCATTGCGGTAGTGATTTTCAGATGTGCTTCCTTGTGTGGCTGTAACTTTGCCCGCATGATTTTGTATGTTTTGTGGCATGTGTGAGTGCAAGACTGCATAAGCTTTCAATAATTGGGTCTGTTTGAGGGCCCGTTTTGTTTATGCTTGTGATTTTTCTTGTTTGTTGGTATTTATGATTGTGTGGTATTCTCGTGTTTGTTGATAACAGTGCTAGCCCAAACGACCTCCAGGAGATTACAACGGAGGTGTATTCCTCATTAGGTATTCCCGTATGGCCTGCCCAGGCTTCACAACGGCCACTAGAGGCTGACGAGTCTCACACAGCCACCTGTCGTACCGAGACCCCAGTCAGTATGTGATAACTGTCTGAACCCCCTGGCTATGAAACTTTTGCTGGTTGTGTGTTAGTCTGGGGGACCTTAAAAGGTAACATATCTTCTGGACTCTGGGAATGGAGGGTTACTGCCGCCTATCCTTGGGTCTTAGAGCTCACCTTCTTTAACAGAATACCCTTTACTTTCTTCTTCGTTTGTCTATCATAATATATCATGATAATGTCAACTCTTTAATCGAGTTAATCTACATGAACACTGAGCAAAGTGAAAAGAGTTTTTATTCTTTTCTGTAACGAAAAGAAAGGTTTCTTCACATTGTATTTATAAAGCGATGCAGCTCCTAAATAATAGAAAGTTTAACACTAAAACATGTCAGCTTTACTCCAACGCTGCTGTAAAATAAAAGAATGCCTCTAAATTTTTTCAAGCTGCTTCCCCGTGTACCCCAGCATCACTACTGTATTTCGAAACTTGTATGAAGACTTTATACACCTTACTTAATGCTGTTATACCCAGGAGACTTATTACACAGCCGTGGCGGAAAGAAGGAATTAGGCATTGGATGTTAGTAGGAAGTATTGGCAGTAAATCAATAATGTGTAGTGGTGTAAATGGCAGATTGCAGGGTGATGCTGACTGCCAAGTGTTGTGTGTGTGCTTAGGTAAAAATGTGATCTCAACAATGCTGGATAAAACCAACACGTTATTTATCCCTGGATTGTTGACGAGTTCTCTCTGGGTGATGTCAGTGTTGGGTAGAGAAGTGATGATGTATGACAGTGAAACATGGACGGTTAAAGAGGATGACATACACAGGCTTGAGCGAGTTGGAATAAGAATGTTGAGGTGGATGTGCGATGTGTCACTGAAAGATAGGAAAACTGGTTTGAGTTAAGAAGGCAGCTGAGTATTGACAGTATTGGTGACGTCTTGCACAAAGGTACCCAGAGATGGTTTGGGTCAAGAGGTACAGGAATCTAAACGAAGAGGGAAAAAGAGCTTGAGGTAGGTTAAGAATTATATGGGGATATTGTAGGAATATTATATATATAGTTGAGAACCTGACTAGAGGCTGCAAGTGGCAACACTGCTCAGGGAGTTTCAGTTAAGTAATCAGGGCTGACTCAAGCAAGATTAGATAATTTTAATAATTATTAGTTACCGATTGTAAGTAAGTTTTATGAAGTGGATAATTACAACTCTTAGGTATACAATTGATCTGCTGGGTTTTTTAAAGATAGAATTTCCATCAGGACTTTAACGCATCCAACAGCTAAAAGTAACATCATTATTAATACTAAACATGAAATGGTATAGGAAGTCATATTTTGTTCTTGATTCCAACCAAACCATTTGAATGTGATCTATATAGTAACTTCCAATGCCTGTATACTTAAGGGTAAATTGAACCTGATGTGACCATTTTCCTTCTACAGGATTTTCGAGGAGCTGGTGATGCACAGCGTGAGGTACCGTAACCTGGTGCCTGTGTGCTTCCTGCTGGGGTTCTACGTGTCGCTGGTGGTGAGCCGTTGGTGGGGTACTTGCCTCGCCCTCCCTGACAACACCAACACCGCTGTCCTCCTCGCTACTCACATCCCTGGCAATGTTAGTATATGTATCACTTTTCGTTCTTGTTCCTGGCTAGTTCTCTCGCTTTTACTCGACCTTTCACTCGCTTAAATCACTTTTTTCCTGGTATCAACTGGACTTAGTGTGGTAGAGTTGCATGTAGTCAGTGTGAACGATAAACTGCAATCTGGATATTTAGCAACAGAAAGGACCTTGAGCTCTTCCTCTGGTGTCCAGATACCATTGCTCTCTCTTATCTGTGCACATATTAGTACGCAGTTGCCTTTCTACAATAGGTGATCTCTCACAACAAAGCTTAAACCCCTGCTCACTACAACACATTTATATCTTAAATAACTTCTTAGTGGAACCATGTTTTCCTCATAGTAGATTTTCATTACTATGGGAGCTTCTACAAGAAATCCTGGCTATTGTTTTTATTTATGCTGGCAGACTTCTCGGTGAATAAACAATTACAGGACTTTTATTGTCTCTTGTTAAGTTGATTGCCAAGTTTCTTAGACCTACTGATGGAGTCCTTACCCTACAGGACCGACGAGCATTCGAGATACGGACGAGGATTGTGCGATACATCAACCTGACCTACTGCATGGTGTTCTCCCAGGTGTCTGCCCCCGTCCGCGTCAAGTACCCAGATGTTCAGAGCCTCGTGAACGAAAGTAGGTCCCCACACACCATCATAGGTTCCTACCACTACCTTAGATTTTGACACACATCCAGCGTGAACCAAGTGGGGTTATGTAATGAACAAATTGTGATGTCTTGTGTAAGATATTACCTTAGTTATTTTTTATTTAACCGGCAAGACGTGACGATACAACGTTTTTGTGGGACATGAAACGCTAGATTTTTCAGCAAAATTTATTAAATGCATTTGTGGCAATTAGTTTAATGTTGTTCTTGATACGCATTTGGACAAGATTGTAATTGCTCTTACTCTTAACTTATTAATCCAAACCACTAATAACGATAACCAAGCCAAACGATCACTTGTAAGTATTTATTACCAGACATTTTTAGAGATAATGGTTTACTACTGCCGGCAGACTTGGCGACGGAGTTGGAGGGGCGGGTGCTGGAAGACGCAGAACGTCACGGGTGTCGGGACAACAAGTGGCTGCCCATTACGTGGTGCTGCCAGCTGGTGCAGTGTGCCAGGGAGGAGGGTTTCCTCATCACAGAGACCGCCAAGGAGACGGTCGTCACGGAGCTCCTTAACCTCCGTCGGCAGTGTGGGGCGCTGCTCGATTGGCACCAGTATAATATTCCCCTCGTGTACACCCAGGTGAGAGGAATGACCTAAGGAGGATGGATGGGGGCTGGAGAAAGATGGATGTAGGCAGTTAGGGGCTGGAGGAAGGGACTGGATGTAAAGGGGTAGAGCTTCATCCGAGATGGGAGGGGGGGGGGAGATTTTGTGATGTATATATAAACCATTATTACTAGGACATAATTTTGTACATTATGACTTTGATGATGGTTCTATGGCAACATGTCGCTTAATTTATGCTCTTGGTATTCATGAACTTAATCTGAATGATACGCGTTTTATGGACTTTTATTAACGTATACAGAATAAAAAAATAGAAAACTAAAACAAATTGACTCAGGACTTTAAAGTACAAAAATATGTGGTGAAGCAGGTGTTGAGGAAGTGCCCTGTCGCGTGCCCCTTCCACTCTTCCATCCATTCCCTCCTCTCCCCTCCAATAGTCGGTGCCACACACTGCTCCCCGTTCCTCCCTCTATATCCGATGCCCCCCTGCTCCCCAGTACAACTAGTAACTAACCCCCCATCTGAAGATGGTGTCCTCAGCTGGCCAGTAAACCATTTTCACCCACAGGTGGTGGCCTTCAATCCTCTCCCACACACTAATGCTACAGCAAACCTTCTTCTCCCGCAGGTGGTGACTTATGGGGTTTACACCTACTTCCTGTTCTCCTTGATCAGCGAGCAATTCCTAGACGAGGCGCGCCATTATCGTAACTACGAGGTGGACCTTGTGGTGCCAGTCTTCGCTCTCCTCGAGCTCGTCTTTTATCTTGGCTGGCTTAAGGTGGCGGAGTCACTCCTCAACCCTTTTGGAATAGACGACCACTCCTTCGAGTTCCTCAATATCCTGGAGGACTCACGCTATGTAAGTTCCTCCCGACTGGCAAACGTACTACATCACAAGTTGTTAAAGGGAAATGTTTTCCTAGTTTATCTTTAAAAATTTATTGCTTCAGGAGCATCTAATGTGTGCAGTAGGCACAAATGTGGGAGGCAAATGCCCTCAAATTATTAGAAAGTATATAAAAGTGCTGCCGTATAACTTTACGCTGTTACGTAGACAATATAATTATTTAAACGTAGGTCGCAAAAGGTTTCCTTCATAAATCCTGGCTACATTGTTATTGTAGCCAAAAATTATTCTTTCTCCATCCTCCCTGTCAGCGGTGGTCAGTGGGTGTCCAGTGTCAGATTTTTGTTAAACCTTTTGTATCCTTTATTGAGGAGGTTCTCGTGTCTCCCCTACAGTCAGCCTTCGTGATAAGTCACACCCGCTACGGCCAGTACTCGCCCGAGGCACAGTGGAGGCCGCCTGACGAAGACCGCCTCGAGATCGTCAACCTGGGGGTGCTCCCAGGGATGATTGGCGACATAATCACCCCCGACACTGTGTTGGGCAGCTCAATTTAATTAAGGGAGCCGTCATTAGTGCGCCGTTAACAGAAACCTAACTTGTTTACTTTTATTCAGATGTATATATCGTATATTTTTTATAATTTATAAATTCAGCGGTTGTGGTGGCTGTTGACATAAATCAAATGATATTTCAATGATATTTTAATTACCCTGTTATAGTAATATCATTTACAAGTGTTTCTAGATATGATCAATCCCGAGTCCTAAAGCTGAGAACGGAATATTTTTTTCTTTTTCTGCTTAGTACAAAGACTGTCGCAGCTGGTCAGTTTTTTCCTCGGTCTGCTGTTCTTTTCACTTTGGAATATATCACCACACCATTCGCATCTGTTGTTGGTGTATCTGGTTCTAGTTGTTTCAACACCACAGGAGAATTATCCAAGATTTTGCCTCGTGTTGTGTTCTCTGCATTCTCCCATATTCAAATACTGTTAAATTCGCCACCGTTCTCGACTTGGTCTATATGTTTGCCAGTGTATTTGTTTTCGTGCGTTAGTCTGTTGATGCTTATCATTAAATGTTCTCACTGTTCTCGTGAATTGTTGGTATGTAAGCATCGCCAGAGCCAAGACAAAATACAGGTTACATCAGGCGTTCGCGTATTATACCGTGAACACCTTACCAACAGCTCGTCTCTTGTCAGGTTTTTCCTCTTCTGTATAACATGGAGCAGACTGTGAGGTGGAAACGTTATTTTGCCGAGCCATTTACATAGTCATTTGTTTTCCAAGTAAATATGTTGAACAGACCGTGGTACTTGATACTCGACTGCATACTACATTATATAAATGTTCAATTGTTTTAAAATTTTGAAGCAACATTAACAAGACCTTATATACAATGGCGAACTTCTCCTAAAATGTTCCTTTGTAATGAATAGATGACCTGACGTGAAAACTGTTGAGACGTAAAAGTACCGATTTACATTGATTTCCTGGTCGGTTATACTGCGGGGGGTAGGGGGGGGGTTATGCAAGTACTCCTTGTCTTATTGTCTTGACATGATCGTTGAGGAAGACCCTTGTCATAATTTGGTAGTTAAGAGTCGCCTAGAAACCACCTATTCTTTATAATTTCACTAAGGGTGCCGTTTTAGTTAAGCTCAAAGTATTTTAGTCTACAGGAAGGATTGCTAAAACACATCAATAATGATTACATAGTTTACAGATTTTTTTCTAAACGAGGGGTTCGTTTTTATTTAGTGATAAAAGCGATAACCACAGTCAGTAAAGCGATAACACAGATAAGATTCGTGAATTAAAACTCATGGTCATTCAGCTGAACAGATAAGGTGGAATTTGTTTATTGGCTTAATATGTATTAACAACTCTGCTTATCTTTAATAAAAACTGCGCAATTATTATATATATATAAATATATATATATATATATATATATATATATATATATATATATATATATATATATATATATATATATATATATATATATATATACACATGCATACATACAATATTTGGTGTTGGGATGCAGACGAACACTAAAACATAGGGACCGAGTATCACAAACTATTAATCAACCTTTTATTAATGGAAAATCCCGTAAATAATTAATTTAGGTGTTATTATGGAGTTTATGAATCACTTTTTACGTTATTCAGAATCTATACTTATGAGCCACAGCTAGAGAGGGTAGGCAGGAAGGGGTCAAGTGGAGGAGTGATGGGTGGGTGAGAGGGAGATGATGGAAGGTGTCACTGGTGGGTCTGAGAGGTTATCTGAAGGATGTACTCCCGTTTCTATGTCAACAGGTGTACACAAGCTAATCTATCTTATTTAATCCTTACGTGCAGGTGTTTGCTCGAGTCGTCTTATTCCTTGTCTTCTTCTACACACTCATTCCGTTTCTTCCTACTACCTGTCTTTTGTTCCCTCATTATACCTATCCCATGACCTACACACACCTGCCCAGTTGGCCATGAATATTCCTGCTATCCTTTCAGATGGACATGAAAGTCCCCTTCATCTCTCCAGCTGGCTCAGAACTCTACCTGTCCAGACCAGAGAGTTCCACCTGACACTACAAGGTCGAGGACATTAGTAGTGACTGTAGTCGACCCTCAGCCATAAGGGGACCATTGGCACCTCCGTCTTATGCAAACTCCCCGTGACCCACATTGGTCCGGGTGATCCACGGCAGGTGTGAACGAGGCCATCCTCCCCCAAATTATGGAAAAGATACGACCCTATCGGTTTTCAGCATAACCAACCACTCCCGTCGCCTGGAAGATGAGAAATTGGAGCATAAATCATGGTATATTTGATAGGAAATTGGATATAAACTGGAGGCGGGATGAGGGCTCTCGTTTTCTCGGGGAGCGATAAAGAAGAATAATGATAATGTATGTTGGTGGTCGCCAGGGAAGAGTTAGCGGCGTGACCGTGTCTCCTCCTGCTGCTGCTGGATGTTGTCGTTACCAGGAAGTAGAATGTGGCAAGTGGTCACAGGTGTCATCTTGGTAATATAGATTTTCAAGTAAATTTATCTTTGGCTATCATAGAAAGTGAGGCGACAGGTAATTACTGCTGGTGGTGGTTATACTATTGTGATGGAAGGCGAGACGTCAGGTAACTATAGCAAAACTGTCACCATGTTTTCTTTACAAATGTCCTCTTGTTAGTTACCACTGAGAGCAGGACGTTAAAGTCGCTGGGAATGTTGACATACTGCCTCGTGCTGGTAGTTGCCAGACACCCAGTACCTACAGTAGGAGTTTTAATAGGTGTAGTTGTTACAAGGTATTCCATATACAGTACACCTTGTGTTTAACATAGAGATAAAAGTAGGTGTAAGTCGTAGATGAAAAAGTAAACGTAAAGGTAGAAGCAGACGTAACAAATGTAGAAGTAGACATGAAAAGTGGAAGTAGAGGCAAATATAAACGACAAGTAGGAAGAAAGAAATAGTATTAGAATTAAACCGCAATAGATACAGAAATACACAAAGGTAAAAGAAAATGAGACAATATTAAGAAACCGACACAATATTAAGAAACCGACACAAGTAAAAACATAGAGTAGGAGAAGAAGTAGAGATTGAACTGGAGGAAGGAAGGGGTGGGATGGGGTAGGGGGGTAGTGAAGTACTCCCTTGGGTGTCTTACAAACTTGTATATGGTGATGGTCAAGGGAGGTACTTTTTGACCCAGCAACACTCACACGGCTAGTTTACCCAACACTTTTTATTTAACGGTCGTGATGGTGTAAGGGGTTGACTCTATTTGTTAACGAGACTCTTTATCTTAATGGTGTTTAGAATCTCTTAATATACCTCGGTGAAAGTCGAAGTCTTTTTATGGTGATTGACTTAGGGTTTATCTTCATAGCGAGATACTCTGAATAAGATCGGTCTGAAGGACCTCTGGCTTCATGGTGTGGTTGAAACTAGCGGGATTGTTTTCATTCAGTTATACTTAATATTACACACCTTCAGTAAACCAAGGGCAGTGGCAGCAGGTTAGAAAACGGCAACAAGACGCTAGAAAGCAGTAGCAACATCAGGAAGTAGCAGTTGTTTAGGAAGATCAGTAGTAGGTTAGAAAGGAGCCGTAACAGCAGCAGCATATCAGGTAGCAGCTACGACAACAACAGCAGCAAAAGCAGGGGCAATAGAAGAGGAAGGAGCAGTAACAGTAGCAGCAACACCAACAGTAAAGCGGCAACAGCAGGAGGGCGAGGCAGGTGGGCGGTACTTGGTATGCGACCAGAGAGTCAACTTGTTAATTAAGGCCAGGAGTTGTCAGGAGGCACGAAATAAATTCAGTGAATGTTGTGAGTCGGATTCACAGAGCTTCGTACACATGAAGAATCCTCGGAACTAAAAAAATTTATAAAATTTTGTAGATTCTTTTAGCTTAAAAGCTAAATCTACAAAAATTAACACCCCCCCCCCCTCAAAAAAAAAAAAAAAAAAAAATATCCTGAACTAAATACATTTGCTTACCAGGCGAAATTAAGTAAAGAATATTATTTAATAGTTGCTGAGTGAACGTAACTAGATAAGGTAGTCTTCGTGTAATGTTTATCATATAATTTCATTCAAGTACATTCTTAAAACTTCATTTACGAGGTATTTCTGATGTACGATTTTTTTGTGAAGGGTCGAAAGCTAGCTGATTCAGATTCTCATAGGTTCGGAAGTCAAAATTTTCTACCATATGAAGAATGTAAGGACAAGTTCTCTTTAAGCTACGACACAAAATTATCTTGTCAAAATAGGGTCGTTATAGCGATGAGAGACGATTGATGTGTGTGTGTGATCGGGGGAGGGGAGGGGAGTGTTTGTGTGTTAATGCGATTATGGGTGACGGAGGGTGAGAAAAACAAGGTATGGGAGAGAGAGAGAGAGAGATGGTGGAAGTGCTAGGGAGAAAATAGAGAAAGAAAAAGACAACGCGCTAAGAAAAATGGCGTTAGAATGAGGAAAAATATAAGAGGGTGAAAGAGAAAATCGGGGAGAACGATAGATAGCAAAGGAGACAGGCGGTGAAAGCATGAATGAGGGAGAGAAGATACCGAGAGAATCCTCCTCCTCCTCCTCCTCAGTAAGTTAATATCTTGCATCACAGCACAGGCAGGCGCGTCCTCCTCAACTTACACAAGAAAAGTTATTAAAGACAAAGTTTTACACATAATTACATACAGCGAGGGTGACAGAAGACGCCATCTTGCTCTTCCTGGTCGGCGTTCCGGGATGATGCGAGAATTCTCCGACTGGTGAAAATTCTGACCTATGAAATGACGGACTAGAAACAGGCAATCGGAAGTATCATTGAGACGCATTTGTATAAAAAACGAAGAGATTGAAATGGTGTGTAAGTGTACTGTAGTTAGAAAGATGAAAATTAATGTGTGATGTCGTGAAGGATGTACTGTGTACTGATGTGTGTGTGGTGTTACATGCAAGACCTTCAACCCACCGAACGCAAGGTCAGGTCGTGTGTCTACATTACACAATATCTATCAAATATTATGTGAAATATTCGATTCCCAGACCATCTTCACCTAGGCTACTCCTATTGTGTGTGTCGCCTCATTCGTCGCAGTTTTTCGAAAATCCATTACATGTTTACTGCATTA